AAGAGCTCATGACACGGCTTTTTCCTTTTGTTTCTGGGAACAGTTTAAATAGTGACCCTTGGGGCGCCTGGGTGGCTCAGTCGGTTGAGCGTCCGACTTCGCTCAGGTCACGATCTCACGGTCCGTGAGTTCGAGCCCCGCATCAGGCTCTGTGCTGACAGCTCAGAGCCTGGAGCCTGCTTCAGATTCTGTGTCTCCCTCTCTCTCTGGCCCTCCCCCCGTTCATGCTCTGTCTCTCTCTGTCTCAAGAATGAATAAATGTTAAAAAAAAAATAATAAAGTTAATTATTAAAAAAAAAAAAAAAGAAAAAAATAAATAGTGACCCTTGTCAGTCCCCAGGCACATGCTTTGTTACTGCCGCTGAGTGCTATCCTGCTCCTATCCAAAGGATGGGATGGGCGGAGTGTCAGCCCTCAGGCTAAGCAGAGGGAGTAGACTGGACCTTGTACCACCTTGCCTTAGCTCCACCTTTCTCACAGAGATCTCACGACATCTCCGTGACAGTCTCCTTGTCCCCTACAAGTAATCCTGTGAGAGAATAGCCTATGGGTTTGCCCCAGTCTAGTGTTTACTCGAGGAGACAGAGGGCTAAGCTCCTTTATCATTTTGTCCTTACTAGATCTATTTAGTGCTAGAATAGGCGCGGACACAGTTTTCCGTAGCTGGTTAGCAAGTTATCTGTGATCACTCAGGCTGCTGTCAGGAAGGTGGTCACTTTGCCAAATCTCATATCCTTTTGTTGGGACAGGGGTGACTTGTACAAGTCAAACGGAAATACAGTGTAAACTTTTTTATAATTTACCTGTGCCAGTAACTTGCACCTTTTCAAGTTTCATTTAAAATTCCTGTGTTCTTACGATTTTCTGAGTTCTGATTGAATTTTCAGTAACGTTCTCTTTCTCAGAAGTGCTTAGTGTGTCTGTTGATCTTTTACTATGGACCTATCAATGGAAGACAGAAGTCCCTACTTGTAAAAAACAAGTAAAAATTGCTTAGCATCTTTCTTGAGGGCTTAGGCCCACTATATAGTAAGCTCTTAGAAGTTCCTATAGAAATTGTTATTAAATGCTTAGTGGGCTAAAGTCTAATGGAAGAAGTATGATAATTTTCTTGTGGAAAGCTTTGATTGCTTTTGGGGATAAGATAGAGTCTGTCATGGTTCTTACTAAGGCTGAGAAATATTTTAAAAATTGTTGCTAGTGGTGCTGAAGTATAATAGACATTGTACTAGTGTGTGTTAATTTCCTGCTACTGGCAACATTTCCTCCTGATCCCTAGAAAAGACTAATAGAATTATGTATGTCAGTGGAACCAAGCCCAGTCAAGTGATCTTTTCTGGAAACTTATATTGTTCTCATTAATCAGTTGGATCACCAATGGTATGGTAATGAAGGAGGACCAAGAGAATATGAAGGTAGATTTTATTCTAGGAAAAAAACATTTTAAAGTCAGGAACTATTGAGACCCAGGCTTTGATCTATGCCTTGGCTTTCATAGATGAAGAATAGTATCTTACAGTCATATTGTTTTTAGTATTAAGAAGAGGTAAGATATGTCAAAGAGATAGGTCCTCTTGGATTCTATGATACTATGATAACTACATCTCTAGTTCTGTAAATTCCTCAAATGTCTTTTTCTCTGTGTTCTAGGCAATACTACTTCAAGTGTGGTCCATGGATTGTATCAGCACAGTATCAGCGGAGAGCTTGTTAGAAAAACAAATTCTCTAGTCCCCGTCCCAGCATCTCTGGGGTGGGACTCCAGGTCTCTTTTCACATGCTCTCCAAGTGATTCTTACGCACATTAAAGTTTGGGAAGCAGTGGTCTAGAGCATCATATCCTAAAGTGTGTTTTCTTAGTTTTTTTGTAAGTGCCACACCAAAAATTGTTCCAATCATGGTCAATTTGGAAACTGCTGGGTTAAACAAAGTTAAGCTTTTAGTTTCCATTATTATTATTATTATTATTATTAATTATTATTATTATTATTTTGTGGGGAGCTACCAGATTTTGCAGAGCTTCTAATATGTTACTCTGCTGTTCAAAATTCTCTTGTGGACTTCTAGCACACTTAAAGTACAATCCAGAGTTATCATGGATAATCCAAAGGTCTTATCATGGCCTGTAGGACCCTGCATGATCTAGCCATTGACTCTCTGATCTCATTTCCTGTCTTTGTTGTCTTAGTACACTCCACCACCTACGCTGATCTTTTAGCCAAGTACACTCTTACTTTAAAGCCTTTGCACTTGTCCTTCCCACTGTATGGAAACCTCTGGTCCCTCCTCACATGTTTCTTCTATAGAGAGACCTTCCCAGGTCATCCTGTACAAAACCGTAGCTCTGGTCGCTTCACTCAAGCCCCTTACCCTAATTTGTTTTTCATTATAGCCCTCACAACTGTCTGACATGTACAGTATTGATTGTTCAACTGTTTACTGTTTGTCTCCTCCACGAGAATGTCTGCTTCATGGGGAGTTTGTTCATCACAGATTCTTTGGTACCTGGACTAGTGCCTGACACATGGTAAGTTACTTAGTAAATATTTACTGGATTAATGAACAAATGAGTGGAGAGAGGATATTGTAGAGAGTAAGAGCAGTAGGACATAGTGTGGCTGCCCAGGAAAAGTGCTTGAGCCTCCCAGAAGGCAGGATAGAGAGGACACTTTGAGGGTCGATCCTCCAGGGTCTTGGGAGTCCTACACTGTTATAAGTGATCTGAAATCATTGATTGTCACTGTGAAGACCAATGAGCGTTTTTGCTTGTAATCATGGAACAATGATGACCATTTCACACAGAATGGACACTCAGCTCTCCGTTGAAGTATTTCCTTAGGTCTTTTCTCTGTCAATGATCTGTCCCTGGGAAATCATTAACTTTCATGGCATCAGCGGTTATTAATAGACACTGGCCAAATTTCTGTTTAGTACCCAACTTGCTCTCTTGCATTTTACTGCCAAATGGACATGTCCACTTGGATGAATTCACACTGCGCATTCAAGACAGAGCTAAAAGCATCATTTTCTTCCCTCAGCCATTTCCTCTCTGATTTCCTTACTGTGGATAATGGCAGCAGTATGCTCACAGTCTTTGAGGCTGAAAGCCATGAGAATACTAGAAGTCTGTAGATTTCACCTTTTCTCATTCAAACAGTTGCTCAGTCTTGTGTATTACTCCTGATGTTTCTTAATCTGTATTTGTTTCCTTTTTGGGGGGTTTTGTTTCTACCCTACTATTGGACTATTATAATAACTCCTGAACTATCCACCAGCCCTGCTCTCGATCCATCTTAAACAGATTCCTCAGCCTGACTCTTAAGATACTGCCCTGTATGGCCATGACTTGCCCATAACCTCTATGTCCACTATTTCCTCACATCATTTCTCTGATCTAGCCAAACCGGACCACTTGCTCCTTTCCTGACTCTTTCTGAGATCTTCTGTTCCATGTCTTTGCTCATTCTGCTCCCCCTGACAAGAAAGCTTTTCCTATTGTCCATGTTTATTAACCTCTTGTCCATTCTTTAACACCCACGTCAGATATCCTGTCCTCCAAGGTGGCTTTCTGCTATAGTATTTGAGAAAAATGTGTTTTCTTTTCTTTTTTCAATATCACTTAATACTTACGATTTTGGCATATCCTACCTCATTTAATAGTAATTTGTATCCTTATTTTACTCCCTACCACTGTACTGAAAGCCCCTTGCAGGCAGAGCCTTTGTCCTACTCATCTCTGAATCTCCACAGTAGGTATCTAATATATATTTATTGACTTGAAATGAAATACCATGACCCAGACTATATTTTGTAACAGCAGTGCAGTCATGTCATGGACTAATAATGTTCTTTGGGTGGGGAACTCATTGGATGGGGTCATATTCACATCCAGGCCTCTTGAGAGTGGCATGGCCAATGTTATTAATCATTTGATAGAGAAAAGGTGCAGAAAGGTTAAGTGATTGCCAGTGTCACACAATAGGGGACCCAGGACTCTCAAGTCCCAGTCTGCAAATCAGATTCAGGCTTCTCTTAATAATTCTTCCTCTTCTGGAAAATAATAATTGCTATTCTAGCTTTTTGGCATCTGACCTGCTCAGAGCAAGGGAAACAGAGAGGCTTAATCCATTTATCCTCAAGGGATAAATTCAGATTCAGATGCCCAGGTCTCAGAATGGCAGTTGCCCTGTGTGCTGCTAAATCTGGTGGCTCGGGAGCAATCCAAAGTGTGTGTGCCTCCATTCTACCCATGCAGCCACTCACCCCCCACAAATCCTACAATTCATCTGAACTGACGGAATTCTTGCTAATTGCCTCTTATTGGTCTGTTATAAGATGAAGCATGGGGAAGAGACAAAGCCTCCCTATTCACATTCTCAGTGGGCAGCAGGGGTCTCTGTAAAACTAGAGAAACTGGGGCCCAGGCTATTCATTTCTGAAAGTCAGGATAAGATCTTCCATCATTCAGAACTCCACATTATAATCACAATATTGCATCCTGGGAGACCCTGTCAATTTTTTTTCAAATGGTCTGCTAGAAATTTAGAGCCTATTTAATATTAGAGTCTATTTAATAAATTAGCACTAATTGACTTTTTTTCCCTTCAGAGTGATACACACTTTATGTTTTAATTTCACCATTTTTTTCCCAGTTGGAGATGAGAGAGAGAGGGAGGGAGGGAAGGAGGGAGGGGCAGTGCTTTTCATGAAAACATCAGTTCTTAATATTTATGTTTTAAGAAAGCAAAGGGAAGGCAAGAACTGCAGCCTGATAACTGAACACTCTGTTTAGAACCCCCTCCTCTCCAATGGGCCTTAGCTAGGTTTCAATAATTATTGCTCCGGCACATAGTCTTGGAGCTTTGCTCTCTCTCAGACTTGTACACAGTTCTAGGAAGGGTTGTTGCCAAAGCCATCATGTGATTTATTGACCCTCCACTGGGACAAGGGGAACAGATATAACTTTGTGATTTTATTATAAGGAGGCTGGGTTAATATTTCTAGGTGAAACAAGCTACTATACCAAGTTCAAACATCTGAAGAGGGAGGTTAAGAAACCCTGAGTGTGGGGTGTAAGGATTATTCTGTCCTGGGGCTGTACAGACGTCGTCTGAGGCAGGGAGCAGGAGAAGAAAGGACACATTGTGACCCATTTCCAACACCTCCTGTGTGTAGAGGCGGAAGTTCCTTGCCTGCAGAGGGACACGCGCGGAGGAAAAATAGGAGAGTTACAACATGGCACTTACATAAACAACACCAAACTGGCATAAAACATCTAACAAAATTACACGACTTCAAGCTTGGAATTTTTATACAACATAAATATTAGGGTTCAGCCCATTTAATAATGCTATATAAAATCAAGATTTAAGGCAGTAATGTTCCACATAAACTCTGAAAACAACATTTATGCTTCTTATAAAAGCAGAAAATGATTGCATTCTGTGGGCTTTTCAAAATGATGAATATAATTACATGAAGCAACAAAAATGGATTGAATTAAAAATCTACTAGTTTCAATTTAAGTTGGTTAAGGGGGAAAAATGTAGTTTCTGGCCAAGGGCTGAAAAAATTTTACAAGTATCCAAAAAAAAAAAAAAAAATGTTGTGTGCACTCTTAGGCAGTTAGGCAGCCCTCTCCCAACATGTGTATGTAGCCCAAGAGTCACCAATGAAATATGAGCTGCTTCGAACCTGCTAAGCTCAAGAAACCCTTTAATAGTATCTACTGTCACAAGTAGAGCTGGTATTTTTTTTTTTCCCCTCCTGAGTACACGGCCACCCCTGGAATAATCCAGTTGCTCCCCTAGTGCCTTTATAGCATCTTGTGCAATTTATTCTTCATCAGTGTTCGCTATTTTGAACTAACCTTGCAGTACTGACTTATAATCAGAGCAGTACCCCAATAGAACACTTGGAGTCTCTAATCTATGTCCCTGTGTCCATGGGTCGGAGGCCAAGTCTAGGTTGTTGCTCTGTTATTTAAGAGAGCCGGTCACTCCTGTGATGGTCTTCCTATTTTATAGGCTAAACATGGTTGGTGTGTGTGTGTGTGTGTGCACGCACACTGGGTAGGGGGAGATGGTGAACCTAGGCCAAAAAGAAAAAAAAGAGAAAAGAATTCAACCTAATGCTACATCATGTTAACTTACTAGACAGAGCCTAATAAACTTTTACTATTCTCTTCTGTGCCAACAGTTTTTTCTTGAAGTTGCTTATTAGTGAAGGTTAGATTTGCACATTTCAATTTGAATACAACAATAATTTTGACGGTACATTTTCTGTTTGTGAAAAGACAGCATGGCATACCCTTGCCATTGCTATTAGATTATACTACCACTAGTCTGATGTTCTTAGACAAATCATTTATACATCTAACTATGCACTTATTTACATGTTCTCCTTGACTTGTGCTATCCTGAAGCTGAGACTTGGTGTCTTTTCAAGGTGGGCTAGCCAGTGATTTTTTCCTTGCTTGACCAGACCACAATAATGCTGGGTCCAGAGCCTTGGAAGAGGTCAATATGGAGGAGATACAGAAAAGGGGCGGAAGTACAGTGTGTGTCCATTTGTAGGCATCAAAGTGTGCAACATGTGCAAAGTGGTATTTAAATCAATGAAAACAAACATATCAGTTTTTTTTTTAACGTCTTAGTTTTATACCACAATGCAGTTTCCATCAGCTATGAAAAGAAGATAAAAATGGTAAAGACTAGTACCTGGTGTAGAGGTATATTGATCTGCTTAAGGAGAGCTTTCACTGCCATCTGGAGCTCGTAGAAGAACAATTGCATGGGGCAGTCAGAAGTATGATCCACACTTTCCATAGATTCAGAGCCAGAAAGCTTTTGGACCCATTCCCACTCCTCTCTGTATGTTGAGTCAAGTTAAAATTAGAAATATAACAAAAGTTCAGAACACAGCTCAGAACATTTTTAGTGTATATGTCCAGAACCCAGATAACCAATTTTTGGTGGTTAAAACTCAATACAATTCATAAAATTTGAACTTTTTGCCACCCAAATGGAGTTTAAAATGAGCTTTTTTTCTAATATAAGCTTAGTTCACCTATCAAACCACATATACCTCAGAACAGCAGGTCTAATTTGTATCAGTCAGTTTTTGAGATTGGAGCTTTGAAATATTTGGTAATAATTTCCTGACTGTCTTCATTTTTCTTTCCCTGAAGATCCTCTGTGAGTTCTAAGACCCTGCATTTTACCACAGGGGCATCTGCTGGTTAATTCAGCAGTTGGGTAACCACAGGACTCTGGTCCAACTCAGCCAACAAACCACATGGCACATTTCAACCCCGGCCTGTTGTAATCGTGGGGACTATTTTGGTTTCTTTCCCCTTCCAAGAGCTTGAGGAGAATCACAAACAGGAACACCAGACAATTCCAATAAAAGGAACCAGGGGACACACATCACTGGTTCCATCCTCCTTGCAAACTAGTCATCTGTGTCTTTATTCTGTGTGCTCTGTAATCCTTCCTAATGAACTTTTCCAAATGTCATGCAGAAGGGCAAGGAAAAGAATGATGGTGGGAGAAAACACATCTGGTTTGTCCCCCAAAGGCCGCTCTTCAAGAGGAGCTTAAAAAGATCAAGGTAAATGCCTCCTTAGAACATTGTTTCCACAGGTATTCCAGCACAAGTCTCTAAACACGTTCATTTGGCCCAGTTTCTCCTCTTTCTAACTCTGCAGGGAGCAGCAGTATGCACTCAGGAGCAGGCCAGAGAGGAAAGGAAAGCCCTCCTCTCTGGGGATGGAAAGAGAGGAGGTGCTAACATATGTTCCCACTCGTGTGAAAACCCTCTGAGGGCTCTCCCCAGTGGGTTTACCAGCCTGGGCTCCAATCTGTGTGTCAGAAAATGAAATCGATTGTGACATGAGCTTTTCATCAGAAAACAATCTCTTTTAACCAGCTATCCTCTTGGAAAAGTGTCTGTTTTCAAGATCTCTGTTTCATTTCAATTCCCACACTGGAAAATACTATGGAAAATCTACCGTATTGTCCCAATAAGAGAAACAAAATAAAAATTAAATCCTACTTCAATCTGGGCGTGCGGTTGGCTCCACAAATAATTGAAATCTTTGAGAACCTGCTTGGGAGTTAATTTCTTTTCTCCCATCACTGATATTGAACTAAATGAGGGGGTTCTGACTGGCACAAACATTCACAAAACCTAAAGGAGCACATTGCTAAAATAGCATCTGTAATAAAATTAGAGAATAAATTACCAGTAGGAATACCATGAAACATCTACCACTAACTAAGCAGTTTAGTCTATAAGGATGAGAGAAATGGAACTGGCAAGAGTGAAGGCTACTGGAATCTTTTGTAAAAATTAAACTTGGATCCTTGTCAAGAAGAAATTAGTTGGTATAACCACTAAAAGATAGAGTCTAAACCTTTAAGACACAAATCTAGCAAATGGATGAAAGTAACCATTGCTGAGTCAACCCACAAATGAGCCATGTAACCTCTTGGGAGGGACTGATAAGATAACCAAAGTTGATTGTAGAAGTGACCACCAGATGGCAGACTTAAAGTCTAGGTGTGGTTGATAAGTGAAAGATGAGAATATGGCAGCTAGTGAGTTTTTGAAGAGATCATCATTATTTCCTTCACTGACATCAAATAGTATTTAAAAAACATCATGAGACACTATAGTTAATAAGCTCTTGCCACCTTATGGACCAAATTTTAAATGACCCAAGTTAGGAATCCCTTTTGGTTAAGCAAATCCATAGGTATAACTAGAATCTGGGCATCTAATTTGTATTCTAAAGCCTAAGGATCCCTGGAGAGTTGTTTTTCTTATCTATTCTTTACTTTTTTTTTTTTTTTTAGGTTGGGCACAATTCAGTTCATTATAGTAGACTTTCAGAGGCCTGCTGGAGGGCTAGTTGTAAATCTGAGCCAGATTACCAAGATTGGGCAACTTTCCGAAAGCTAACAGGGTAATTCACCATAATGCCAAACCATAGAGCAGTTTCCAGAAGCACAGGCCTTGTTACTTCTTTTCTTCTTTAGAGAACCATAAAGAGTACAGGAAACATACATAGTCCTAAGGCCAGAGGGCCAGGGATGGGGAGAATGAGGGCAGGGGGATTCTTTAAAGGGAAATCAATTGCTCTACCAGAACCCATTTCCACAATTGATATATATATATTTTTAAAAAATGACTTATTAAGTTGTGAAGAAAAGATACTGGAAATAAAAATGTTGAAAGAAAAGGGCATCTATTCATTAACCAGTTGAGTGTCAGTGGTTGCACCATGAATAATATAGAGAGGAAAGTGAAAGGAGTTTGCTCCTCCTTCAATTGGGTCACTCCTTCCACCAACCAATACCACAAACCCTCCTTATCCTAATGTTAAAATACAGCTCTGCTTCTGCCCCGGTGTGCTGGCACCTGGGGACATCTCACTGCAGAAACTACACTGGGTCAGTTTTCTCCTCTGACACATCAAACCCATCATTTGAGCCATTGTTTCATCACAAGGAAAACCCAGACTCCTCACAACTTACTTGGAAATGTTATTGTTTTCACGGATCTTCACGTGGCAGAGAATGTTGGGCAACTTTTGGGTAACTAGGACTTTGATCTGATCCACAGAGCTACATAGCTTTAGGTAACCCAGATATAATCCAGGAGAGAGACGCTGATGACTCCTTTTGTGATAAGAGAGAATATCCTGTAGGGTGAAAAACAAAACAACACATAAAACACCTTGAAAAGGCAACCTCAAGGGGCACCTGGGTGGCTCAGTTCCTTAAGCGTCCGACCTCGGCTCAGGTCATGATCTCACAGCTCATGAGTTTGAGCCCCACATTAGGCTCTGTGCTGACAGCTCAGGGCTGGAAGCCTGTTTCAGATTATGTATCTCTCTCTCTCTTTCTGTCTCCCTCCCTTCCTCCCTCCCTCTTCCCCCCCTTCCTCTCTTGCAAG